TTAAAACATTGATTTCACTGTGTTTTCTCAACAAAACTCTTCGCTGAGTATGTCTTAACGATTCCTTAGTCTTTCAGCTTCAATATGGTTACATTTTAACGATTGTGTTCTTGTTGACTTCGTTCGGTAGCTTTTGAACTAAAGTATATCATAGCCTAAAATAATCAGAAATAAAATGCATCCTTCTGTCATCACAGAGCATCTAAACGCTTTCCTAAACACACCTGAAAAAACACCGTGATCTTCTTTCCTTTATTTAACGTCGGTCTCTGTTCCGTAATCTAGTGCCAATCACCGACGGACATCGATTGCCATCCATTGACGACAATCGAATGTGCAGGAAGGCAGCTTCCATAACTGCGTAGGATATCGCACCCATTCAAACACACATGGGCCGGGACCAACGCCACACTGGGCCAGGAACCGAAATTAGCAAGACAAAACCTCTAGCGCATTGGGTTTGCATTATATTGAAATGGTGTCTTTGGCAAAGTTTCTCGGTTTAACATGCGTCTTCATCTGGTAATGCAAATTAGTTCCAATTTTCTCCGCATTGATGGTGCTGCGATACTAACTTTCTTATTTCACATGATAGAGGTTTTATGTCTTCGGCAAAATTGTAGAACATTAAAAAATATGAAAAATGCCGAAGGACTCAAAGTTTTAGGTCTTCAAATAACAAAGATATAGTGAAAATTGTAAAATTTAACTGAAATTTACGTTTTTTGTACTATTTACCATACAAAAGACATATATTTCATTTTTAATGCCGTGTATCTTTTAAGTCGGATAATTTGCAAGTTTTAAGGAAGAGTTCTCAATGTTTTGGGTCGATACAAGCGAAATATTGGCCAAAATAGTGAAAATTACCATGATTTTCATAATCCAGTTTCTCGAAAAGTAGCCAGTATTAGCAAAAAGTCATTTACTTTCTGAAATGTACCATTAATCATCAATCAAAGGTGAAAGATTGCCGGACATATAATTTTATATATTTGAGACATCTGAATTCATAGACTACAATTCAAGCAGCGTTCGCCAACGCACGGCTTGCTGGCTGCATGCGATGGAAACGATGGAATATGTCTCTTATGCTTGGCTAGCTGCACGTTGGCGAACGCTGTACTAATGTGTGCACAAAGCTTCTTCATGTTCATTATCGAACATGTGTGCTTGTGTGATGAGATATCTAGATTCAAAGTATTTTTTTTTTTTAATTTTAACAACTACCTGTTATCTTGCATTGTCGATTATTGCAACAGCATTTGCACGGGTTCTGGAAATTGCTCTTTCTTGGTTTGAAGAACCTGTTTCTGCACTGTCATCACCGGGTCAGAGGTCAGCAAAAGTCGATGGAATACGTCCTCGATGTTTGCAAGACGACTGCATTGTCGAGAATGGTACTCCCGATGGATTTGTGGATTTCTGATGGATTTGTTTCGTCGCTCTTCCGCCTCTTCGGATAATAAACCAATCGGAATATCACAATGGCTTATGATTGTCGGTCCATGCACCAAGATCCTGTGTACCGTAGGTGACAAAGGGTAAAAACTATAATAATGGACAAACAACCTTCTAGTCTCTTCTGCGTAGGTTTCGAATGCCTTTACGTCGATTACAAGCTTGCTAGATAGCGCCAACATAATTTTAACGAATCAACGAAGGATATCTTTCTCAATTCCTGTAGTTCTTGCCGTTATTTCTGATTTCTGAAATAATATTCTGGCGGTGTTGCCACCATTACTATTACCTGATGAAATGAAAATGTATTCGAATGTGTATCCTAACAAGTCGATAAAATGAACTTACCTCCAGATGGACACGGTTCACTTATTCTCAGTCCTATATTCTTGAACTCTTCTTATATTGTAAGATCATTTTCGCAAAAAAATCGCAAAGCATCGTCAGCGGTAAATCGTTTGATCTCTGGTTTGGCAACTGATTGGCCAATTTTTTTTACCTTGTTCTATGGCTATCTTCACAAAAAGATTTTTTTGGTCTTCCACCTACATTTTTCTTTGGGCTATCGTCCTGAACTTTTAAGTGGGAATCCAGCCATTTTGTACATTTTTGAAAAAACAAACGCTTGTTGCGGCATGACTTGGCATAACGTGCTTTTAGAAATCTAAGCGATTTGTGAAGGGACTGTTCAAAGGCTTCACTTTCGGGACAAATATTTTTTTCTGCGATGCCAGATCAACGAGTGATATTTTTTTGAAAAAATAATGTCACGATTTCCCGAAAACTCACGCTGCATACTATTATTTTCAATAATGAAATAAATACCTTCTGCACAATTAAAAAATACTTACCTTCCGCCATAATTATCAGTTACATAGGGTTAACTACCCCATTTCCGGCCTATTAAGCACAAACCGCATTTAGTCTTTCTTAATCAAGCGCAGTTTAGCACCAAACGGAATGTTATTATTACTGATGGCTTCCAAATTTATTTACCTTTCCGTACGTACCGTAAGATTTGATAAAGAGAAACAAATCGTTGAGATATTGTCAAAAGTCTAACACTGCTTCTTGACGCCAAACTCGGCCTACGGATTCTAAACTCGGCCTAACGCATTGAATCACCATTGAAACGCCAATGAATTCACTTCGGCCTATCGGATGAAGATAAAAATTGATTCGGTCGGAGCGCTTCTTTTGTTTTTGGGAGTTATGGGTGCAAACGTTCATATGACGCGTTTTCATTGACTTCGTTCGGTAGCATATTAACTAAAGTATCGTACCAAACGCATAATTGACTTGTTAACTCTGAAATCATGGATTTATTTGAAGTTTTCTGCTCGATAGGCCCAAAATGGGCGATTTCGCCGAAGTAGTTCTCTACCCTACTCCAAAATAATACAAATTATAATCCACCGAAAGAGTCAACATTACTTCGAAATAACAGAGCTTCCGTTTTCGTACTTACATTTTCAGTTAATCAATCAGTAAGTAGTACATGTGTATTCTCATTTCAAAATTAGATCAGTGCACGAAGATTTACTGCACTCTTCTCTCACCCGTAAATTTTGACAGTTTTGGGTAGTTTGTTTTGGCTCCCATTCGTTGCCATCTCTTTTACTTAGAGACAAAATTATTGGAACCGAAAAGTGAGGTTAGGGACCGTGCACTGCTCTATCAACTATCATCATCGACTTTTGTCACACGCACTAATGTTCGAGAATGAACATGAACATGAAGAAGCTTTGTGCATACATTAGTACAGCGTTCGCCAACGTGCAGCTAGCGAAGCATAAGAGATATATTCCATCGTTTCCATCGCATGCAGCCAAACTTTCACCATTGATTTATGATTAATGGTACATTTCAGAAAGTAAATGACTTTTTGCTAATACTGGCTACTTTTCGAGAAACCGGATTATGAAAATCATGGTAATTTTCACTATTTTGGCTAATATTTCGCATGTATCGACCCAAAACATTGGGAACTCTTCCTTAAAACTTGCAAATTATCCGACTTTAAAGATTCACGGCGTTAAAAATGGAGAATTTGTCGTTTGTATGGAAAATAGTACAAAAAACGTAAATTTCAGTTAAATTTTACATTATTCACTATATCTTTGTTATTTGAAGACCTAAAACTTGGAGTTCTTGGGCATTTTTTTTTATATTTTTTAATGTTCTACAATAATGCCCAAGACATAAAACCTCTATCATGTAAAATAAGAAAGTTAGTATCGCAGCACCATCGATAAATTGAGAAAATTGGAGCTAATTTGCATAACCAGATAAAGGCGCATGTTAAACCGGGAAACTTTGCCAAAGACACCATTTCAATATAATGCAAACCCAATGCGCTAGAGGTTTTGTCTTACTAATTTCGGTTCCTGGCCAAGTGTGCAACGGCTTTACTTTCCCCTTCCGAAGGAAGACGTGACCAGATATTTTTATACCTCATAAAAATCCCACCGACCTCGGCTGGGATTGAACCCAGACCCATTGGAGTGAAAAAACAGTCACGCTTACCACTACACCACCGGCGCCGGTGTATTCTGGAAGATAAAAACCAACAGTTTTTCATAATTCCTGTGGTCAAAACCTTCATTCAATTATACTGCAAATAATCTGCAATTTATTTATAAAAGATTACATTTCCAAACGATAAAAATTGCTCATTTATTGTAAAAAAAAAACATTGAAATGAAAGCTCACCACACTGCCCCATCGCTACCCTCGGCAAGCTCCGAATCTATTACCAGCAGACCAATTATGACGAGAGTCAATTAAAAAAGCAATCGTTCTCATAACAACGCCTGTAATGACGACGCTCACTAATGACACCAAATTGATCACTTCGGAAGGACAACGAACCGAACTTTGGCGGAGCAGAGACGCAAACCCATCATCGAACATAATGCAACTCGGATCCAAACAATCCCATGCTGTGAACAACACACCGTAACTTGAAACAAATACCTCCCATTATAGCGGTGAATTTTAAAATGCTCCAAAATGAGCATAAACCATCATCATGCCTGGCATAGAAACCCAGCAAGAAATACCCAGAAATCAGGCCTCCACCATCCAGTAAGGGGCTTTACCGGGCTAGCGATGTGCTTGGATCAACTCGGATAGCTCAGATGAAAGAAAAACTGTGCACCGTTTTGAAAGCAAATAGCATACTTCAAAATGTAGCAATGACGACGGTGGGGAGCGGAGAAGTGACCGGCAATTCCCAAGAGGTTTCAATTTTTCTTTCGTTCAATGTCTCGCAAGGTCGAGCCCCCGCGAGTTATACTTTAGCATTGAGCAGAAGCAATAGTAGGTAAATAAGTATAGTAGTGCCGAAGATGGTGGCAAAAGTTACCATAGATGGAACGCAAAAATTAGAAAATTATGCATTTTTCGGAATAACGACTGAACGTTCTCGAGCACCGGCGATCGGGTTGTAACCTCGGGGGTAGAAGAAGACCTGATCGGTAGATTCATCGGTATAAATAATCTGTGATGCACTACTAACGGCATCAGTTCGATCGCAGTGTTCTACCAGTGCGCTTCAGTGAAACTCCACTCAGCAGAATCCGAAACAGGAGATCCAAGATGTTCAAGGTAGGTTTACCAGCGGAGAACTTTCAAAAACGGACATCCTAAGAGCAAATTTCAACATCTTTCAGATCATTGCTTTGGTTGCCTGTTTGGTCGTCGTGGTTTCGGCGGAGTACTACGAAGTGGAAGAACACCACGAAGATTACTACGCCTATCCAAAGTACAAGTTTGAATATGGTGTTAAGGATCCCTACACCGGAGACCACAAGAGCCAGTGGGAGCACCGTGATGGAGAAGTCGTCGTTGGATCGTACTCGGTGGATGAAGCCGACGGTACCCACCGCGTGGTGACATACAACTCCGATGATCACAACGGATTCCAGGCCCATGTTCAGCGCGTTGGACATGCCCAGCATCCCCATGGCGAAAGCTACTCCAACATTGATCAACATCACTGAGAACATTGCGGGGAAGTGTAGAGATGACTGCACGAGAGAACACTAGTTGCCAAAATTTACTGAATAAAGTAATATGAAAGTTCCTTGCTCCAATGACGAGCACACAAAATCGAAAAGGTTCATGATTTTTCATGGGATTTTTTTTATAAGAATAGTAGCAGTCAAAGATCCGGATCGTGTGTGCCTTGGTGTCTTCTTGTGTATTATGTCCCAACCTCAAGTTTGAGCACAGCCGAAGAGATCAAGTCGTATTTCACTCAAAACCGTTAAAACTTGAATTACTCACTGAGTGAATGGAATTTGCATCGATTTTCCTAAAACAACTGCTTGAATATAAGGAACATCGAGAAAAAATTTAAACAATTTTGAGACGATCCCATTGACCATGTGATTAGTGAGATTTCTTCAAGCACTATAATAGTTGTTAATTGAGAGCATGAAAATACAGGTACAGTAGGGCTAATTTTGATAATTCTAGATTAACAAAAAACAGCTTTCATTGATATTTAGGTTTCTCCTTGGGGCTCACTGAAGCCTTTTATCATATATATTTAATCCCGGTGGATTTTCTCAGACTAACAAGAGACGCTCAACATGATTCTCGACTGCAAAAATTATGGTTTTAGCCCTTCCAATTTTCCTTCTCAAATGAGACTGATTGTTCATGGAAAAATTAGGGGCAAGTTGCCTCAATGGGAAACTTTAAGCCTGAAATAGAAGCATAATTCGATGTTCAAGTTAGTTCCGAAACCAAAACTAATAATCCAAATGATTTGTATAAGTAAAGGTTGGCAGACTACATTATTCATGGGATTTATTTTTTAATTCTGAACTCAGCCAAGGACATTTTGAGATAATTAGGCTCATAAAAAATTTTGAAATTTTTCCTTAAAGATACTAAAAACATTTTTTGTTTGCATAATTTTCCCAGAAAAAAAACATAATTTATTCAACAACTTTGACTCAGACGTCATTTCGACCAGAAGTGCCGTTTCCGTTCTATATTTTATTTTGAAAATTTTACATGATTCAAAATGGCTGGAATTTTAGCTATGTGAATCATTACCCATAACAAACAATGCAAAGTTTAACACAAATCGGAGATGGTCGAGCTTTTCCGATTCGTCATTTGGTGTGGAACTGCTCAGCTTTTACTGAAATCATGAATTTAAGATTTTTGTTGTTGTTATTGTTGGTACTTTTTACAGTCAATTCAACAGCATAAAGATAATGTTTTTCTAAATGCATCATACATCACAACAAACAAAACCGAGATGGACAGGCGTACACGGCAACATTAAGCTATTTAAATGGAATGATATTCCCGGAAAAAGTCAGCTATGTTTTCGAACCCAGATCAAGCATCACTATTGATCGCACCGTTTAATATTGTTGATGTAATATAAAATAATAATAACTATTGTTATAATAAGCTTATCAAACCACTTTAAGACATTCTAAAAAAAATTGAATAATTTCAATCAGCCTCGTTTCAAAAGTATCCTTGAAATGAATCCAGAAGATCTTTGGATTCTCCTTAAGTCTCTTGGAATCTTCATCGTGATTCGCAAGAAATTATCCTCCGAATTGGAATTCACCTTAGAACTCTTTTGCAAATATTATCAGATTGAAATTTCCGCATTTTTGGAACTTTTTTCAGGACCATTTGATTTTTTTGTCAGGGTTTCCTTGGAATCATAATTGAAAAAATCGTTTCTACTCTCAAGGTTATTTTCAGAATTCTCTCTGAATTTTTCACTCTCGAATTTTCCGTTCAATGTATCAAAATTTTCTTCGAATTTTCCCAAAATTCCGATATAAATACTTTTAAATTCTATGGAATGCTTCTCAATATTCCCATGCTCAAATGTTGTAAGTTTGAACTTCTCTGAAATTCAACTCAAAATTACAGCAAAATAACCTCACCTTGATGCTATGGAGAATATTAAATGAAATCAAAACGTTTTCAGATTCAGATTGCTTCCAAATTTTCTCTTGAAATTTATTTCAGAGTTTCTTAAATGTTTTTGTCATTATTGCTTTGGAACACTTGTCAAAATTTGCTTGGAGTTATGGAGGTTTGGATATTTTTGGGAAATATCCTCTTATTTCTCTTTGAGTTCTTCTCAGAGATTCTTGAAATTCTCCTGGACATTTCCTCACAATACCCTCTCTACCAAATTGCCATGTAATTCTACTTATAACTACATTTAAATCATCATAGAATTTACATAAAGCTTTCCTCACACAGCGTTGGAACTTCTTTTGAGAATGACTTACTGGTCTTCATGGAATTCCTCAAGATTAATTTCCAGAATTCCAGGAATAAACTATCCATGTTGAAGACAGATTCACGCGCAGATCTTAACGTTTTTTCCAAGCTAATGATTTCTAAAAGATTGTTTGGGATCGTGGTAGGCCGCGGTGAAAAGTTGACGTGTTTTGTTTTTGCAGCTGTATTTTTTCGAATGAAGTTCTATGATTTTATACAATTTTCAAACGCAATTGATGATTTCAAAAATGTTTTTAAGTGTTCGTGATTCAGACAAAATCTTTAGAAATGTGTCCTTGTCGAGGGGTACCCGTTCCGAAAAATTAATTTTTAAAGCACGCAGTTTGTGTTTGTCGAGGAGAAAACTTTATTTCTCTAAGGGAATCTTCCGGAACCGATTCGTGGGCAAAACGGGTACATCTAGAGTGCTTGAAAAACCTTAAGAAATTTAAGAAGAAGAGTGAAAATAGCGCATACTCGCAAAGAATGAGAGAAGAAAGTTTGGTGATGGATTTGGATAATAGTGAACAACTGGTGGAATTCGGTGAGACTAACTCATTGATAATCGAGATGACAAAGATTCAGCAGCAAGGACGAAATACATAAGCGGTGAGATCTAACTGATTTTTTTTTGTCAATCAGATGTAGACCATTTTTTACAAATTACAAGTAATGTGTTAAAATGACGAATAGAATTAAAGTACTGCTTTAATCTGGTTTTTGTCATTATAAAATCAATAGCTTCACTATGTTTATTGTAAGCAGTCATAATTTGATTAAGTGGACCAAATTTGGCATAATTTGTGCGATAGTGATTTGTAGTAAATATATTTCGAGTTCGCAGTTGCCGAGAAGGTATGTAAAAATTAAGCTTTGATAACAGTTCTACTGAGTCAATTCGATGCGATACTATATCGTTCACAAACGAAACCATTGCAAATTCACGACACGCTTTCAATATTTGAATGTTGATGAGCATGCAGCGTGCTTCATAAGATGGAAGATCTAATCGTTCCTCATGTGTGAATGAAAAAGGTGACCAAACTATACTGCAATATTCAAGTATTGATCTTGCATATGAAATGTACAGTGATTTTATTGTATACGGGTCATGAAAATTGTAACTGAATCGTTTGATAAAGCCAAGCATATTATTTGCTTTGTTGATAATTGTATTATAATGATCAGTGAATGCTAGTTTTGAATCAATTATAACTCCTAAATCCCTAACTCGTTCACACTTTTCTACTGCATATCAATACGATCAAATACTTTGCTAAAATCGGTATAGAGTGCTTCCACATGGTTTCCATTATCCATTGCAACCAAAGAATAGTTCACGAATTCAAGTAAATTTGTATTAGTTGATCGTTCTTTGAAGAAACCATGTTGCATGTTAGTGATTCTGTTTTTGATCTGATTGAATAGTTTTTGATTGACGATCGCTTCGAAACTACAACTAGATATAAAAATATGAAATGCATCCTACTAAATACGTGCCATCTAAAGAGCAGGAATTGCTTTGATGATGGAAGTGTACACGCAGTACCAATATACATTTTATATCGGTACTACGTGTATGCGGGACTTGTTGTAAGTGAAAGTAACCTCGGAATGGACGTGAGTCCAGGCATTCTGAAATGCGTTATGAGAATCTCAACGAGCTATCACCTTTAAACTTCCGGGCTAAATTTGTTTGCATTGGGATCAGTATAAGATAATAATAGATTATATTGCAAACATTTTTCTTCCATAAAAACACTGCCGGACAGTGGAAGTTGGATTCTATAGACATACATAAATACATACGTACAATGATTTCTAAAAGATTGTTTTACTATAATCTTTTTCTTTCCTAAATTCAACCTTGCTACAAGAAAACTTCTTAAGAGATAATGAGATTTTGAAAATCTATCGAGATCTCGAACTTCAAGATATTATCTTAATTTTAGAGCTCGATCAATTTGATGCAGTTTCATAGCAACAATGATTTTCCTGATTCATAAACTTATAAAAATATTATTGATGCAATGCATTTTGTGGAAAGACGCTATAAAGAAACTCTCTGAATTCGTCCCTTTAGATTGTCACCATTGGCCGTTGTCGCCAGCCCTCACTACGACACTGAGTGTAGCACGCACTTTACGTAGAAACTAGCAATATAGCCCACCATATGCCTTCAGCTGAGCACCACTGATTAGAATATAAATATAACTCCTTAACTTAAAGCCATTGCGTACGTAAAATCATCGTATCCCAATGCAAAATATAGGTCACTAACAAGAGAAAAAAAAGCACTCTAATTCGCTAATTTCCAGTGCTTTGTAATTTCCATGAACTTCCCCATGGATTCCGCTTTCGACATCAACATTGTTCAATACTTTTAGGAATGCACTCGTATGGCAGAAGCAAAGCAACACAATTAGATTCTTATAAATATTTAAATTAAAGGCGTTCGCGACAGTTCATAAATCTTCACCTCCAAACATTTCCAAAGATTACATTTGTGATAGTACCTAAGACAAGACAGGACATATGGCTTCTTTTTATTCTTCTTGGCAGTTTATTTATGCGCTCCTGCACTGCTTGTTGAGCATTAATCGTGCAAAATCAATATAAACAGTTCAAACAGTAATTGTGAACACATTTAAATTAAAAAATGTTACACTTGAAAATCAACCAATTATCGACTGGATCATAAAATGTACCCAAATCTATACCCAGTTGT